TCCATTCTCCTTTTGGCCTGTTCATCTGTCCACTTCTTTACAGTTTAACAGCTTCAGAAATCTTAATTTGTATTGCACAGTGGCATCTGGAATTAGATGACTGGTAATTAGAATCCATACTAGCCTAAGAATTTAAAAATTAAAAACAAAAAACAAAAAAGATTCCACTTCTTGCCCTGCCAGAAAATACTGTATGTTTCCGGGCAGTCACTTTACCTGCTTGAGTCTCAGGTTCTTCAGCTACAATGTGGGAATAATACCTCCCCTACCTCCTCCTAGGGTTATAGGGAAAAGCATTTTATAATCTTGGGAAATGTACACAAATGTAAGACACCATTAGGTTAAGCTTCTACCTTTAAAGTGTACTGTGTCCTGTGTAATAGAAATGTATATTATAGATGATGGTGGATTAACGAAATGAAGGAAGTAACTCAAGAATGTGATATTTCAATGTGAACTTATTCTTACTGCTTCAAAATACAATTTACGTTTCTGTGCCCTACATTTAGATTTATTTTTTATATCTTGCTGGTTCCCACACTGTTCTACTTTGTTATTTTATTCCTCCCCCATGTATAAGGGCAAAGAGTTGGAACTCTCCCTGTTCGGCTTGCAACCTGTTTTAATGACTAGGCTGGAACAAGGGTGACTTAGTGAACTCACCTCCTACCAACTCATTAGTGCCACGAGGGCCTCAGATGTTTCCTATTACATGTGAAATGCTGTGGGAAAGCAAAAGCTCAGGTCCTTCTACTCTTCTTCATGTGACCTGCTGAGCAAGTCCTATTGAATGTGTCCTAAATCTCTTTCAAATTAGTCCTTTAGTACAAAACAGAATATGTTTGCTCCTCAGTCACAGAAGTATCCAGCTAACTGGACTCTTCTCATGATCATGTGCTCCCACCCCCTCCCATCCTGCCTACCCATGCTCTCAACTTCACTCACTCATGCTGGAGTCATCTTGACAAAATCTAAATCTGCACACCTCAATTTCCTGCTTAAACCTTGGATGGCACCCGGTCCCCCAGAGAAAACTCCTGTATTGTCTAGAGATGACAAATGAGGTTCTCTCGATGTGGTGCCTGTTCACCTCTCCATCTCCACGCACATTTGTGCTCAGCAATGCTGAACTGTCATCCCCAGTCCCCAAATACAACTTTACACACTTTTGAAAGTTCCGTGCTCTTTTATGATTCCTTCCAACTATAGTTGCCCTTCCTTTACTATTTTCTATCTGGAAAATTCCTATTTGTCCTTTAAAACTGTTCCAGAGTCACCCTCTCTTTGATGCTCCTTTCAGAGAAACTAGCAGAGTGTCTGAAAAATTATAGCTACATTGTAAATATTTCTTAAGAAAAGTAAAACAAAGCACATCCTGTATAATTCGTGGGACTGAGCTCTAGTGTAAAAAACAAAACAAAACATGGGGCTCATCACTTATTTATCACTGTTAGTTTTTTTAGGTCTTGCCATTTATGTAATCTTATGGTAAATGCCAAGATTGGAAGCATCCTGTCTCCATGAAGGAGCAACAGAAACTGACCAAATTAGGCCTGTTGGTGAGCCACACACCTTGTGACACTGTATTATCAGAGATGGGTTATTTTCCCCTTCATCTCCTCCTACAACTTTGGGCAGCTCTAGATGTACTGAAATTCATAAAAAGCCGCGTTTGACAAATTCAGAAGCAAAACTGTTCTGTGAAAACACTTTCTCCTTCCTCTACTGAAAGTGTCGCTCTTCTCTTTTTCTAAAGCCACGAGCCTGTGGTCAGGCATTATCTGTCTCAAGTCTTGCTGATCAGAGTTAAATTGGAAACTAAGGTGCCCACAGTGATGCTTCTCGCCTATTGGGATTCATGAGCTTACTTTGTCCATGAGTCCCAATACTGAATCAGTGTAAGCTGTAAATTACATGCCCCCCTTTCTCACTAGTATGGCTGTGATCAATGGGTAATAAATGAGTATTCTCAATTTTACCTAAAAGTGCTGCTTCCCAAGAAACTCTGGGGTAAAATGAGAAGTGTATAATTTTTCCTTTTATATTTATAATTATAGTCCATGCTTTCTATTATTTCATACCACTGAGTTTTTTCCTTCTTTTCCTTATAAGGTACACATTTTACTTAGAGGTGAGAATTAATACCTATTGCATAACTAATGATGGTTCTTTTAAGAGTTAATTAACTAAAACACGTGATGAATAGACTAAAAGGTAACATCAATGTAGTTTGCATTTTTTCAACTTGTTTCATAAAACAAGATTTTGCTTTAAAATGCATGGTCCTAGATTATAATAGATATAAATTAGCTTTTCTTACTTCAAATAATTAATTTCCAAAACTAGTACAAATTGAATTTCACCCTTCAATGAATCAGTTTTCAGAAATATAATTGAAAGTCCATTTCATGGAATGCACACTTAGCTCTTATTTTTATTTCTTTTTCTTTTTTTATTGTTGCACCAATTTTCTTCTTTCTTCTTTTTTTTTCTCTTTTATCTATTATTTCAATAAATATACAAAGCATTTGTTGATTGGATTTTGCTAGGCACTGTGAAGAATTTAAAACTGAGATTGCTGCCCTCAAAGCCTTGAAGGGAGACGCTGAAAAAGTTAACTAGAAAGAGATGTTACAAACGGAACCAAACGAGTAGTACAGGCAGCAGGAGCTGGGAGTTCAGAAGCCAGGCTCTGCCTCTCTGACATCTTCAGTCAGAGCCTTCCAACCTGCCACCCTTTGTGATTTATTTTTAATGCTTTTGTAAAATCGTGTTCCAACATATAGACAGACGCAGGAATATATCATTGGTCCTTTCCCCTTCTCCTTTGACTCTACTTCTGATCCTCTTGAAATAAAAAGGGGAGCTATATCCGGACTATTTTGTGAATGTCAGATTCTTACCTACCCTCTTCCTCTGGAATAAAGGAGATGGGATTATGTAAATCAGGAAGAGCATGTTTTTCTCCAGATCTCTATATATCAACCATACCTGCACAATTAAAATCTTATAAAAAGAAAGTGTTTAATCGTGTTCCACAGTGAATTGTTACCACAGGTTCATTAATAACTCTCTTTTTTTCCTGATTAGTATTTAACCTGACTTTGGTTATATTACCACCCACTGTGAATGGGTATACACTTTTCTTAACTCTGTAAACCAAGGTTGATCCATGCCCTTCTTTCCTTTTCCTGGCTATAGGCAAATAGTCTTTGACTCATAAATGGAACTAGGAAAGCTGTTTGACCAATCTGACTGACATCAAGTGGTTTTCACCACCAGTTTCTTCTTTTACCATTGAATGAGTTATTTTGTGCACAGCACTATTACCTTTTGAGCAGTCTTCTGCATGTAGTTCTGTTAAATGTATCCCCAGATAATCAGCCTCTCTCACATTCACATACCCTTCTTTCTACATCTACAGCTATAATGACCTCATGGCGCTTTTATTTCTTTTATGCTTTTGTATCTTCTCCACTGGAATGTAAGCACTTTGAAGGCAGGAGCTATGACTTACTTGATCACTGTTTTATACTCAGGGCTTCATTTGGTGTCTGGAGAATAGAAGCTATCAATAAAGATTTGTTAAGCTCAGTGTTTATTGAAAGGCATAGTAAGACAAGAAGGCTTAGAGGAAAGGAACTAAACCCAGCCAATCAGAGAGAATTAGGAGGGATTTTAGAGGAATATACACCTAAATTGAGACCTGAAGGGTAATTACAAGTTAACTAAGCATAGGGAGAGGACAATCCAGACCAAAGAAAAAATATAGTGTGGACAGAGAACTATATTTGAGAAAGAGCAGGTCCATGGAAAGGCAGGCAAAAATATCAGCTGTACCTTATATTTACCATGCCCAAGAATCAAAACACAATGGGATAAATTTAAATGTATACATATATGTGTATATGAGAGATGAAACTTTAGTATTTAAAAGTTTAATTAGATATACTAAAAAATCAACTCCATCAACCTGTAAAACCCTTAATATTTAGCCCAAGTCCTCTATCAAACTAAGAATATTTCCATTAACTTTCTCATTATTTTTCTTCTCAAATCAACTTCTAATTTTTTTTGTAACTTTTTACATTCTCTGTTTTAACTATTGGTATTTTTTAAGATAGTTCCACTGCAGACAGTATGTTTATTTAAGCCAAGGGATGTGAACCTAACCACCTTGCATAAAATTGTATATAGAAAACTGTTGCAGGTTCTAAACACTCAACTTAGAAGTGAACTTTTAGAAAATCACCTGCTTCTAAATTGAGGTTTTGAGTGCACAAGGGACAATTTGCAGCAGAACGTGATGAAAGCATACCAATCTTGGAGTCCAAACAGTTATGCCACTTACTTCACTAAGTTCATGAAACTCTCTGTCTCATCATTTGTTTAATGGGATGCATTATATCTGCTTTATAGTCTTTGTAGGAATTCCCAAAGTTAAAACATGAGCTCTATCTATGTAAAAATGAATGACCTAACAGACTAGAGAGGGCTGTACCTAGTTAAAACACAAGAAAATCTGCTATTGTGGATATGTTTGTGTTAGAAAATTAAAAATTTGCCTGGCCGGTGTGGCTCAGTGGTTGAGCATGGACCCATGTACCAAGAGGTCATGGGTTTGATTCCTGGTCAGGGCACATGCTCAGGTTGTGGGCCTGATCTCCAACGGGGGGCATGCAGGAGGCGGCCAATCAATGTTCTCTCTCATCAGTGTTTCTATCTCCCTCTTCCTTCCTCTCTCTCTAAAATCAAAAAATAAAAAATAAATAAATAAGAAAATAAAAAATTTATACCCCTTGAAACAAATACAAACAGCTTTATATATAGGAAAATATGTATAGCAATTTAAGTTAGTAAAAGGACAAGTACTATTTTGAAATACACAGTATTAGTTGTCTGTATTTATGGCATAACTACAGCAAGTGTGTTTACATGGAAATGGCTGTTTGCCTCATTAGCAGGAGGATAATACACATTATCCCTATTTTGTCTCGTAGAATGATTGAAGATAGTGGGAAAAGAGGAAATACCATGGCAGAAAGAAGACAGCTGTTTGCAGAGATGAGTAAGTATGGAACTTTTAAGACCCTACAGTATCCATTGAATACACATGAAATCCTATGACTTGTGTAGTTTTATTTAAAATCCTAAGTTTCTTGCATAAAATGTAAATTTGGGCATTTTTGCTTCCTATAAAGTAAAAGTTAAATTAGTGAAGAATCATAATTTGTTAAAGCACTGTATATTTTACAGGAAGGAAAAGTGTCATGGACCTAAATGTATGTATACACACACAAACACACTTTATAAACACTATTTAGTGTTGGCATTAAGACAATCTATTAAACTTTAAAGTCTGTGTCCATCTCTCTACACTATGTCAGTATCCAGTATATTGTAGGCACTAATAACAATGAAAGGAATCATTGACTATCTTACCTACAAAATGATATTATATGTTTATATGGGAAAGAGGAGTCAGGCATGATTACCAGATCAAACTATAAGCTGTCATTTAGACTCATGCAGAGGGGAAGAATCTGCCATACAAACCAGTTTCTAAAAAATGAAAAATTAAACAAAAGTTTTTTAAAAATCTCAGAGGTCACCCTGCTATGGAAGAGAAACCAAACCAAGATTCATCTAGTGGAGAACCCATAAAATAAAGGCCATTGGTTTATGTAAATACATGGTTGCTGTGTAAATAATTGGTTGTTAGTGTATCCTTAATAGGCCAAGTTTCTTATTCATAAGAAAGAACTTGACATTGGTAGAAAAACACACATCTCAAATTAAATATTATAAAAAAAAAAAAAAAAAAAAAGTACAATTCTCTTGTCTTTTTATCTCTTCTTCCCTGCCTAAGGAATGAGGATGAGCAGAAGAGAGTTGTAATCCTCATTCTCTGAGAAGGCAGTAGACAAAATTAAGTTTCTACTGAAGATTGAAACTGATTGGCAAGAATGAGGTTCAGAGCAGATAAAAGAAAGTCCCAAATAATAAGATTCGTATTTTCCTTTATCTTTTCCCACTAATCTGGTGACACCAAGACAGTGTTAGAACTAACAAAAAGGAAAGAAAATTAAAATTGATGTGGAGAATCTCAATCATGCTCCTAGATTTTTCACTTCTAGAAACATGTCTAAAGTGCCTGTGAGTGTTTCAGCCATGACCTTCCAATTTCCTAGGCCATGTTTGGTACTGTATCTTCATTTCTGGCATGGCTGGTCACTTGGAATTATGACCTTGTTGACACAAATCTAACAGTGCAAGAAACCTGCCCATCTAAACAAAATATAAAGCAGCACAAATATCCTCCCATTTCATAGGTTCTTAGACTGAAAAGGCAAGAGTCATGTACATCATGGGCAAGTGTTTTGACAAAAAAAATAATAATAATAATATTTAACATAAAAAGCAGTAAAGTCTTAGGGGAAATGTTTGAATTTACCATTGTTACACTAAAGATAATATTAACTAACACACGGTAAGAATTATAAATGTGTGACTATTTAATGATTTTTAAAATACTTACCTGAGTTTAGGTACATTATCCCTGGTGCATTGCCTAGCATAGGTATGGCACACATGTCTTTTGAATTAAACTTATCCAACTCAAATAAAGATCAATATAAGTTTTATAGTCATAGAAAGAGAGAACCTAAATTTTTCAAGTTAGACAGACTTGGGAAAATTGTGCATTTATTTTCCAAATTATAACTTTTTCTTTTATAGAAACTTCTCAGGGTTGTCATGAGCTTTATTAGATTATATTATGAGTTCTCCTTGTTAGTGAATAGTTTTAAAAGACATATAAATATGTGTCTTTCTTCCTTGAGTATGCTAAATAATAGACTCAGATGTTGGCCTAAAACAGGTAAACACATCTGATCTTAACAATCCATTAGTGAGCATCATATTTATATCAACACTAAGTAGGACATGTCCACAGTATTAAGTAGGATTCTGCCAGATAAAACAATTGGCTGATTTGAAAGGGAGGAATTGATTTTGATAGGCAGACTGTCACACAAATGAGAAAAGTAGTCTCATTGAGAATGTGTTAAATAGTTGAAAAATTTGGGGGTTATCTCAGCTTTGTCAGCAGGACACCAAAAAAAAAAAAGACAAACTATTATCAGAGAAGACTAACATGGAGACTTGGAAAGTAACTTCTTACAACAATTCTGATGTCTAGAGAAGGAACTAAAAAGAAAGAGGAACTTGTAAGTCTGGTCAGCTAAGTATTATCTAGAAATATTTTTTTAAACAGCAGAAGAAAGTGCAGAAAAGATTTTTTGTTTTGGAAATTAACATGTCAGATGTCAAAGAACAATTGCATGTGAAGAATTTAAGAAGGCAAAGGAAGAATTTATTCAAGGCTATTGCAACAAGGGAAAGAGACCACTAGAACGAAAGGCAGGAGAGTTTTTGAGGACTGGAATGAGCTACTGTAAAAGTACAGAAGTAGATTAGTGGGGAAGTTGGTCAATTGTGTTTGTTAATTGTCACAATTAGGTAGTTAGGCTTCTACCCTCCCACAGAGATTGGGAGAGCTCTTTCAATGATTACCTCTCAAAGGGATGGTTCCCAGGTTCTTGAGAAGGATATTCCTGGGCTATAAAACTGGCCAGAGCTGGGAGATTTATATCTCCATGGGGAAGATAAAGAATATACAATGCAAAGTTTTCTAAAGCAAATGCTCTAAGAAAAGAGAGGTCAGAGGCCTATAGTGAGGAAGAATACTGACTAAAATTTAGTCAAACTGGGTCTTACACTAAGGCATATTGACTTTACAAAGGCCAAGAACAGAAAATAACAATAAGAAGAACAACTAATAAGAAATTTTGGCAGATTCAGGTGATTGCAGCACATGTACATGAAACATCTACTCTGAACTCATGACCACAAAGCAGAAAGTAGAAAGAAATTGCAAAGAAATGAAATTAAGAGTAACATGCCCAACCAATATGGCTCAGTGGTTGAGCATTGACCCCTGCACCAAGAGGTCGCCGGTTTGATACCCGGTTAGGGCACATGCCCAGGTTGTGGGACTGATCCCCAGTCGGGGGCATGCAGGAGGTGGCCAGTCGATGTTCTCGTTCATCAGTGTTTCTATCTCTCCTTCTCCCTTCCTCTCTTTCTAATACATAAAGAAAAAAAAATTTAAGAGTAACTTGAACTCACAGATAAGCAAAAATGAATAGCCTTATATATAAAACAACCACCCCAGCAACTCCATGGCCACCTCCTTTGATTAAAGAAATTTTGGGCAATTTGCCCTTAAACTAACAAGTGCCTTCAGTATAATGCCTAATAATCAGTTTATCTAGTACCTTAGATTAAAGCTAAAAAGACTGGTTCAATGGAAATGTCATTTTCACCTTGGCCTTTCCAGTCATTGAATAAGTTTATCAGCTCAAACAAGTTTATCACACTGGATTTTAGCAGAATAGTTTGTTTTTGGAATTAAACTCACCTTCTCTGTTTTCCTGGTCTCAGAGCACATTTACTCTGCCTTGTATGACATGTGCTTGTGACCACACCCATGTCACCCACTATCATGAACTCCTTTGTAGGGACAGACCCTAGACATTTACCTTCGAATCCATTCACTTTGACGCTGAATCAGTGTTGGTTTAAAATCTCTGGGGCACAGGTTAGGTAGGTTTTAATGAGAGTAAACTGATTGGAAAACATTCTTTTAGAACTTGGAAGGCTACCTAACAGAAGGAAAAAGGTATCGGGGAGAAAGCAGAGTGGCCTCTAAGTGAAGGAGGGACCAGAAATCAAAGGGAGGTACATGTAGGCACTCAACAAACACTGTTGAATTGTTTGAAGGCAGTATTTCTTCAGAATGTTCACTACAGTCAGCAGGTAAACAGTTAGATGGAACCCAGAGCATGATTTTGCAATGCACATTATGAGTTTGAGGAAAACTGATTTCAAAAATTCAGAAAAATGACACAAATGATCCCACTACTCTAGGTCACAGTGAATACAGGGACTATATTTACTAACTTCATCTCATGCTTTTCAGCCTCTTTAAGATGTTAACACCATGGGTCACCATCCTGCAAATTGTCTTTTGTCACCACCACCCTAGCCTGGTCCCCTGCTTTTTCTGACCACTCTACTTCTTTTTTTCTTTCTCTTAGTACCCCTGAAGTCAGATTTTACCAAAGTTTTGTTCTTGACCAATTCTTTTCATATACAATTTGATTTTTTCTCTCAAGGCTTCACCATTATTGTTATGGCTCTAAGTGTCCAGGAATTTCTTCAAAAATACCTCCCACATTCTCATGAACCATTTTATCCAGAATAGTCATGGTATAAACACAATGTCCCCTCTAGCCTTGTCTCCTCACAGTCAAAGTTTATACTGATGAAGCCACTTAAGGTGGGCTCACCATTAACTCCATTAATAGTGCCCAGCACAAAAAAAGTCAATGTTCCTGCCAAGGGTTTGGCTATCCAGTGTTTTTAAAGTCGTGAAGTCCTTGAACAACTACCAAACAGCGAGGCACTGTTGAGAAGTTGGGAGGAAGTTGCTGTTCCCAGCTGTATGCCCCATTCTGTCACATAGAATGTGGAATAGACTTACTTGTGCACACAGTCTCCTCTTGGAAAAATATTTCTACTCTTGGCTCAGTCAAGACACGTGGTAACATTTTATATGTTTGTTAATAATTCCTGGAATGTATCCCATAGTCAGGACTTCCATATCTAATATCCAACTACCACTGGATAGCTCCACTTGGACATCCCACAAGCAACTCAAACTCTTTAAGCCCAAAATTGAACTCTTTGTTTTCACTCACCCTCAAACTTGTTTCTCCCTTTTGTACCTTAGTTGAGGGAATGCTACCCATCCCACCATCCCATTGAGTTGTCTAAGGTAGAAATTTAAGCATTATCTTTGACCCCAAACTTCTTTAAATCTCAATCTCTCTCTCTTTCTCTCTCTCTCTCTCTCTCTCTCTCTCTCTCTCTCTCTCTCTCAAAGAGAGAGAAAGAGAGGCACATCCAGTCAATCATCAAGCATGGAAAAGAGTTCAGATACAGGGTTCAGAGGATTCATCTGTATTCTGTAAATATTTGTTGAGTGAATTTTTTAAATGAATGAATTTTTTTAAATGAATGAAATATTTAGGAATCTGAATGACTATATGAAAGGGTTTATAATGAGCTAACAAACATAGAAGGCAAAACATACATGATTTGTGTTAAACTGTTTAGAGTGTAATGAACCTAAAGCCAAAAATTAGGTAAGACTGAATGGTTGGTGGGATGGATGGTAGATGGATGAATGGAAGGAAAGAAAGAAGGTAGGAAGAAGGGAGAAAGGAGGAAGAGAGTGAGGAAAGAATGGACATAGGTGGAAAGTGAAGAGGAAAAAATCTTGAAAAGAAGAGCTAAAGAAAAAAGGAGAAGAAGACTTTCACGAGATAACAGTGTAATTGGAATAACTTAACTCAATGATTTTCAACCTGTGTGCAGTGGCAGGCACATTGATGTGCAGCAAGAATTTATAGAACACACGGTACCTGGCTATTTAGTCAGGGGCACTGACCTCTTTTCACTTAGATTGTCAAATTAAAAAATGACAACAACCAACACAACAATAGCCATCCAATGTAAATGAATCAAAATTATACCTATTTTTTTCAGATCAACAAAAAATATAAAATTTTTAGTACACCACAGAATTTTAGTAATTAGTTTAGTTTATGTATGCCATGAGATGAAAAAAGTTGAAAGTTGCAGTCTTAACTGTATCTTTGCCTTCATCTTTATCACTTTCTTCCAACTATAACATGGATATGAGAGGTTTGAGGAGATGGTGCAAGCACATCAAAATGCCTTAAATGATTAGCTTTAAATTTTTATTATGAAAAGTTTCAAATGTATATCAAAGTATAGAGAGAAGAATTCCTCTCTACCCTTAATTATTAACCCTCAACCCTCACTGTATTACTCTGGAGCAAATCTCAGATGTTATTTAAATGAGTTGAGCCTTCATGTCTTAAAGAATTATATACCAGTGATATAATAATAATGGGGGAAAAACATTACCCATGATTTTGAAAAATAACAAAGAGAACATTGCAAAAAATAAAAGATAAAAAAAGGCTGTCCTCATTTTTTATTAAAGAGGGAGAATATAGATTCTTGAGAGTCTGGAGGATGAATTTGATGTAGGTTTCATGATAAAATGGATTTCTTCCAGATCATGAACAAAAGATAGTGGTAACACTAGACAGTTCAATATGCTAAGAACAAGGATTGCTCTAGTGACTTCACTTCATTATTCATTTATTCAAATTTAATCTTTTTTTTATAGAGGAATTGAGTTAATTTCCCTTTTTAATAAGGCTACTAGACTGTTAACTCAGGGAAAGTATCTAACAAAGATACTAACAAAGTCTCTTAGATTATGCATGTCTTAGAGAAACATGAGCTGGATCATCATGCAGTTAGGTAGATTTACAGGTAGTGTTGTGACCATGTATAAGGGTAAGTAATGGGCCAGTCAACTTGGAGGATGGCCTGTAGTAGTATTCTGGAAGACTCTTCTGTGGCCCTGTGCAGGACCTTGGTTTTAAGCAATAAATGGGACACAGAAGACATGCACTACTCCCAAGTAGGCTATGAATTTATAGACTTTCGGGAAGAGACCACATATGTAGAATTGAATCATGTTTATGGCTTATTGGGGCAGAGACAACAACATTTATTTTGAGGAAGAGCCTGCACACCCTATTTCAGGTCAAAGTTTTATATGTGTTTTTGGGTCCCAGAATCCATTATGGATCTTGGCTTGCCACCTACATCGTCTGTGCAAGGTAGTGTGCTGTATATCTGAAAAGCTAATCTTCATCGCTTACCACATCCCTTTTAATATTGAGGCCTTGCATCCTCAGCCAGGAATAACTTACACAAATAGGAAACAATGACAGACTTCCAGACCTCTTCCTGATTCTTACATAAAACAGAGGGTCCATTAAGTCCACATCATGATAGGGCAGGGGGGCAGTCAGTGCACTACCATCCCTAAGTGGCATCTCTACTCCCCTCTTTACTGCCCCTGGAGAGGTGCACCTTTGCCAGATTGCCCCTAGGACCTCTGTGAGAGGAAGGTGCAGAGGAGCCAGGGTTTCTGTTCTCAGAGACTACGATCTTCCTGGAACCCAGAAATGTACCTGTGTGCTGCATCGTAGTCCTTTTATACCTGGGGCTTAAATCATTATTCTTGAAAAACTTACGCAAATAATCTATGTCCCTAATGTCTTCTTCTAAAGGAGTAGTTACAGATATTGAGACTCTGCTGGTTGTTGAGCCAAACACTACAACAATAAAATGACATTCTCATCCAGGGGAAAAGGCAGATTTAGCATTCAGGTATTTCTGATAGTTGCTCTGTCTGGTTGTCCGACAACCTGGAGTATTTATTTTCCAAATAAGCTTCTCAGATTTATAGAGGACCTGAAACTGGGAAGCCCTTTAGAAATGCCAGTGAGAAAATAAATTTTTTTTTAAAAGCAGAAAGGTTAGAAGCATGAGCAAAAACTTCAAACAAACTAACCAGATAAGTATGAAATCCTACCTGTAGCCCCCACCCCAAATAAGCATTTAAATAGAAAAAAAAAAAAAAAACTGACTTAATATAAGTACATGTGATTTTTTTAACTAGCTTCTTAATGAACTACTAGCTTAATTAGAGCCCAAAGAATTAATTGCATTAGTAAGTGTCCTCATCAAAGGTGATAGTAATCGCTTTCTATATATTCTATACAGGTGAAGCAGTGGCTGTGGCCTTTGGGTTAATTTGTATATCTCATTTCAAGGAGATACTAGCCACTCATAGAACAGGATAACTAGAATGGTTGGGGCCTCAAATCCTTGCCTGATGACAATGAGAATAATAATATCTGTGTCCATGTATTGAAACCTTATTGTGTGCCGTGTTCAGTGGTGGACATTGTACTTGAAATAGCTGTGCAGTTGAACTTCTTCGACCTAAAAAGTCAAAAAGGAGCTACCTCCCTAGCTAAATTCTAAACTTGCAATAACAGAGACTTTTGTGCATGATTTTCAGATGGTAATGGAGATGCTAATACTGATAATGATAGCAGCTTCCAAATGTTTTAAAAATAAGTTATCAAGTGCCAGGGATACGAGATTATGGGGCTCCAGAAGGGAAGCTAGGTCAAATGGATTGAAGTTACAGAAAGGCAAGTTAAAGCTCAAATATAAAAATGAAATTTCGGTCACTTGTTGCTCAGAAATGGCACAGAAAGCCTTTTATGGAGGCCCATCTGCTTGCTGTTAAATTCTCACTAGTACCAGTTACCAAGGTTACCAGCTGATACAGTTGATATTACCCAGCTGATACAGTTGATATTACCCCCATTTTACACATGAGGAAATTGGATGCCAGATAAAAACTTGTCAAAGTTCACACAAAAAGTCCATTTATTTTCACTATGTTATAATCGTCCCTATCATTGGAAAGAATCCTACATGGCCATTGGCTAAAATATCTACCTCTTGAGAACATGTTTAAGGGAATTTCTCATTTGGGTGAGGATAAGTCCTTACCTCTTTTATCCTTCAATTGCTCAGTATCAATGAACCTATTAGGTAATAAACTTCTATAAGAATTATTGTCTAATTATCTGCCTTATTAAGCCATGAAGTAATCGGAGAATTGATAGTATTTTTAAAGGACTCTAAAGAGATCAGTTTGGGTCGAGGGAATGCTGAGCACTCTCAGTGAAGGACACTTGCTCATTCATCCTGAGTTTCATTAGAAAAGCACTTAAATGGTCTCCTAATACAATTATTTTCAGACCAGTTTATTTACTTGCTACCCTAACTATTAGATTCTGAAGCATTTATGTAACATTTTTACTGGTGAAGAGAAAGTTCAATACCTGTCAAAATACAGCTATATGCCTTTATAGCTGTCATGAACTATAAATATGGGCTTCAAAAAAGCCAACTATTTAGAAGCAGAGAAGAACTGATATTTGTTGAAAGTCTGCTGTGTCCTAGACACGGTCTAGAAATTAACCCATTAAGAGGAAATTCAGGTTATGTAACAAGCAGCCTATCTGCAGGGGAGAGGTCCTGGGATAGAGTAGTGGGAACTATTGTTGGGTGGATAGAATGGAATTTGCAGAGGAACTTGGATTCTGAGCAGAAGAGCATTCAGACCTGGTGCTGTGGGTATCATAAGCCATGCTGAGATTTCTGAGTGGAATAAACAGGGAAAGCAGCTCAAAAATATAGGGAACATGTTTGTCTTTGTTAGGAAGGAACTGGAAGCCACAGTGTAAGAGTAGTGGTTGTTTTATAGAAAGGAGCCTGCTCTGAGATTGATAGGAAAAATTACAGGTGAGATACTAGTAATAATAGTGAATACTTATATAGCACTTACTGTGTGCCAGGCGGTGTTCTCAGTGCTTTGGGTATAGTCACTCATTTATCCTTACAGCAACCTACGAAGTAAATAGAAGTAGTATCATCATCCCTATCTTCCAGATGAGATAACTAGGACTTCCAAAAGCATGTGGCCTCGGGTCAAGCAGAAAAAATTGCCCAGCATTCAGCATGTGCTCACGTCACAGCCTTGTTCTAACGACCAATGACAGTGCATTTAAAATGATATTTGATTATCTTATTATCTGATATCATCTGGCTCTTTAAGTCACACCTTGAGCGGATTTTTCTCTGAAGTGACAGATTCCACAGGGCTGAGGTTGTTTCTGGGCCCGTGAGCATGGTTGACAATCTGATCTTCAGTGCTGATTACATGTGTTCTCTTCCCCTAGAATCTGAGGGACACAGGAAAGACGTTTTCAAGTCTTAAAGTTATATTTATATTCTTATCAAAACAAAAGTAATTGTATGGGTTATATTTATAGTTGTTTTATTTATAAATAAAACACACATGGCATACCATATGTGTATGTTTCCCCCTCTCCCCAGGGGCTCAAGATCTGGATCGCATCCGACTCTCCACCTACAGAACAGCATGCAAGCTTAGGTTTGTTCAGAAGAAATGCAATTGTAAGTATGCCAGTTGTTTGGATTAATTACCTTCATGAATCCTATAATTTACATTCATTACTTAGTTTATTAAAACTAGGTCTTCTTGCAAGAACTGACAAAAATGTTTACACAACAATGAAAAGAATATTATGGTATACAAATGGTAGCAAGACTATTCCTAATTCTGAAAGCTTAATTACTCTGAATAGCTAAGGTATTCCATCCTGCCATTGGAATTGTTCAAATCTGCATGGATGTTTTCCTTCTTTTCTCCAGCTTTGGTATTGTAAATGCAGTGCCATCAATATGGTCTCCAAGAACTTTATAAAATAGCAAACATTGAGTCCCCCTTATATTTGTGTTTCCTTTACAAATATAGGAAAATATTTATAATCTCCTGGAAAACAATCAAGTTTCTTCTGAAACTAGAAAATTCACCCTTTGTATCAGGTATTAACTATATTTGCCTGCATCAGACAATAGCAAGAGAAGAGACAAAAGTACTTAAAGAAACCAAGCAACTTCCTTCAGCTTTTCCCCACATTTTAAAATATAAGCAGCAAGTTGGATCACTAATCACAGTGAGCAGATGTATGTTCCTGCTGGGTCAGTGCTTCCATCATATTACCCTATTCACTGTCTCTTGGGGGGGAAAAAATAGTACTTTGTTTTAACAACTGACTGCTGTAACACTTCTCATTTTCGAATTAGTATTGGATGCGTTAGAAAATGAAAACCATGTTATCCTGAGTACATACACATAGTTCTTGAATTACTGCCATGAGAATTAGACACTTGGTGAACACAGAAACCAGCCGTGTCCACAGCTCTACCCTCCCAGAGTCTCCAGCAGGCGTTTCTTGGGGCACTCTTTGGGACCTACAGCTGATCGTGACTCTGGGGCTGGGCAGTGTGCATGTGGCCCTCACATGGCCCATCAGCAGATATTCTCCAGCCCAGAACAATGGAGTGGAAGTTTGAGGCAGGAGGAGAATGGAGAAAAAACGTAGGTTTATCAAACATCAAAGACATGTTTTTACTCCTCACAGAAAGCTAACACAATGCTCCCCCCCACCCAGAAGGCAGTGAGAAAAGCATTCTAGGTGGAAGGAATCTGTGGTTGTACTTACAGGCCTGGTGTTACAGGGCAAGGAAATGCACCCACAGAGGCAAAGCTTTCCGTCTGCCTCAACCTCATGACCCATATTTAAACAAAAAGAAGAATCTCTATGTTTTCAGCTATAAAAATGTGATAGGATCCTCTCTTTCTTTTTTTCTTTTTTTTCCCCCTCATTACCATTGGCCCTCAAAATAGAAGGGAGGGGATAAGGAATAGGGATGGGAGTCTGTCTCCTCAAAGCATTGCCAAGCATAGTCTTCCTTAGTCTGCTTTCAGTAGAAGTAGGTAATTTCAAAATGACATTACAAAATGGTAAGGATGGAGAAAAGAGAGAGAGAAGGAAGGAAGGAAGGAAGGAAGGAAGGAAGGAAGGAAGGAAGGAAGGAAGGAGGGAGGGAGGGAGGGAGGGAGGGAGGGAGGGAGGGAGGGAGGGAGGGAGGGAGGGAGGGAAGAGTCTCATAGTTCTTTGTAAACCCTCTACCGACAACGTTACAAAGGGTACACATGTTGACCCTAACTGGGTCCAGCAACCCACAGGCCATACTGCATTCCTCCTGCTCTTTGATGAAGGTCCTTTCTCCTTCTTGGGCATCTCTTTTTCCTCTTCCTATTCTTTTCTGGTGCTCATATTTACCCTACATCCAGAACCACAGCATAGTCATCCTGGTTTTCAAGGAAAAATTACTATCTTGGAAAACAGTGATAGCCCATCCCTGGTGAAAGAGAAGCTTCACACCTGTCCAGTTGCCCTCAGTGTATCCATTCATGTACTTCTTAATTTAGTAAACTTATAATGATCTCCTACTCTATGTTTGACACTGTTAGATACCAGGGACAGAGCTCTGATGGTGAATAAGATGCAGTCCCTAACTTGAGGTTGCCCAAAGTCTAAGTGGGTAGATGGACTATTAAACAGACTTATAAAACAGTGTGGAAGTGTAATGACAAGAATGTGTACAATGTGTTGTGGGAGCACCGAGGAGGCAGTACCCTGACTTGGGTGTGGAGCCGCTGAGAGAAGTTTCCTATACAGGGAGATAACTGGGCTGAGACTTAAAAGAATTGATAGACAGTAAGCTGAAAAGTGTTATTTGCTTTACAATGTGCCTTACAAATTTTATACATTTTAGTATGAGAAAATATATTACATTCTATACAAACTAGACAAAACTAAGGCTCAAGGAAGAAATACAAGCATATGTTGAATGCTGTGCTAAAATGAAACTTCTTTTTCAAATTGTTTCTACGTTGATGCAAATACTATATGTGTTTGCTGAGTTTTCCTTCCTAACAATAAATATAACAATGGTGATACTGAGGTACTTCCAAAATGCCCACACAATTGAGCCGGGCTTATTTTAATCGAAGTTAAAGCCTTTCTTTGGGGAAGATAACCAGGAGTACTGTTTATGTGACATATGTGCATCAATATTAAATACCCCTGTATTAGAAGATCACTATTGGCTACAGTAGAACCTAGCTCAAAATAAATGATGGAGTTTTACTCTACAATAAAAGAAATAAGAAAAAAATTTTCATAGTGTATTCCTAACTACGTTGCTTTATTGGAAATTCTTATGTTTACTTCATAGAAATTGATAGACTTTAACTGAAAATGGGTTGTTTATTTTTAGGTCCAGCCATTATTTACAGGTACAATTTATTTTGTTTGTTACCAGAACTAAACTTAAAAATGATATAATGGAGAAAAAAACATAAAAACTGACACTGGTAAAGTAATCCCCAAGGAAAAAATAAATGTTGTCTGGATATAGCATGGAAAGTATACATTTTATGAGATTTCTTTCTTATCTAAATTTAAGGGTCAGAAGTGTCAGTTAATTCCCCATATTTTCTTCCCCGCAGCCCTTGCCTGGTCTGTTTATGGTGTCCCATCTAAAGCATTGATCCCTATCACTGATATCTATGTTCAATTCCTCTAAAGCAATTCTTGATAGATGCTGAGAATAAATGATCCCCAGTGTTCTGAAAAGACTTTCTATAAGAGGCCAGAAAACTGTGTTTCATAGACTAAGTGAGCCCAGCACCTATTTTTGTATTGACTGTATACTAAGAATAATTTTTACAGATGAAGATTCGTAACCAATTTGAAAAGAGAGGAAGGACACTAATTTGTAACCGCAATTAAGCAAAATGTTTTTCTCACAAAAAGAATTCCAGTCTGTTTATTGATAGACAAGAATTAAAAACATTGTACTCATTTATTGTATTTTTAATTTTATCATCAAAATGTTGTAGAAATGTATTTCCTCTGTTGTTATACACAGGGTGGGGCAAAAGTAGGTTTACAGTTGTGAGTACATAAAACAGTTTATTCTTGTATTATTATTTATTGATTGTTGTATTATTTTCCATACAAACAACTGTAAACCTACTTTTGTCCCATCCTGTACATGCTAACATAATATCTACATAGTATTAATCCATTATATGGTGGTGCCCTATGTCCACAATAAACATTTACCAACCTCTGCTATAAAAGAAGAGTTGGTTTTTATAAGGCAAAATATTCCTTCAACTTTTCTCCTTAGGATTTGTTTTCCAGATCAGCTTCTTTCTCTCACTATTCATCTTTGTAGATGTCATACTCTCCCTCCCCATGCCATGACTAGCACATTCTCTCTAAAAATTAGAGAACAGATTGGCTATTTTATTTTCTAGAAGAAATGGTACAGAATGGAGAATACCGATATATTCCTAATACTCCTCTGTAATCAACAGCCTTCTCTTTAATGTCCAGATTTCCTGGTAACTTTCCACAAAATAAATATCCTATATACCATTTCTAGGCATGTGTGCAAATGGTAACAGTTCAGCCTTGATCTTAAACAAATAACTTTCCTGCTATAACATTATTTCCTCAGTCAGCATTGACATGGTTAATGATCCAGATACCCTGTAATGTCAGCAGATCTTTTTCCAGAAATTACTTTGAAGTCAATGGAATGTAGCTGTAAGTTCATGAACAACAAAAAGCAATAAGAGAAATAAATCAGAAACCTACTCTCTCCTGTCTGACAGTGGAACAAAAGCAAGGAAGCAAGGGGGACTGTCCCCCATACCCACAACTGACATTGCACCATCATTTCGTTCTTCTGGCCACAAGTAGAATTTTCTTTCTATCACTTATATCAATTAAAATTTTGTTTAAAAGGAAAGATGAAAAAGTATATATTTGTATCTGAACTTTTATTTTCTCAAAATATCTGTCCTCTAGTAAATGAAGCATTTGAAGAGTATCCCTCATCCAGATATAATTTAAGGTCAGAATACATGCTTTTGTCTTTAACAGCTCTAAACTTTCAGGATCTCTTATGATCCAGAAATAAAATGCACATACCTTTTTACCCAAAGGTTTCCTGTCACTGCAAAATGAACGCAAGGGAGTGCTATACATGTAGTAAGACCTGAAAAAGTATTCTTCTGTGAATGAATGAATGAGTGAATGAGTGAATGAATGAATGGTCTCCACTAGATTCGTCTTTCACCACCCAGGTGACAAGTCTTATGGATAGGAGTAATCTTCTAGTGTTTCTTAGTAATAAGTACTGCTATCTCAATCATTTTTTTTTTTTTCAAACTAGTGTTCAACCATATTTCTTCTCTCTGCCTCACTTTCAAGTATGTGGATTTTGGGCTGCCTGTATCAGCGTTCTACCATTGCATAACAAATTACCACACACTTAGCAGCTTAAAACAACACACATTTATTATCTTGGTTTCTAGAGGCCAGAAGTCCAACACCGCATGACTGGATTCTCAGCTCAGGGTTTCAGGAGGCTGAAATCAGCATACCGGCTAGGTCTGGGGTTCTCATCTGGCTCTCAGGGTTCTCTTCCACAGCATGGCTGTTGGCAGAATTCATTACCTTGTGGTT